CTATAAAACCCTTAGATCCCTAGCAACGGCGCCAAAACTATGATGCGACTGAGCGTGTGCACAAAATAATGCGCATCACTTTAGGTTTAGAAATAATGTCAAGTGGGCATCATATTATATAATTTATAAAACCACTAAACACTTATACTATGGAGTATGAAGCGAGTAGGGATCATCCCAAGAGATCTAAACAATTATTGGTTTTCGGAATTGAATTCTACTTTAGTGCTTATGTGATTACTAAAAAGGATTTTTTTTTTTTTTTTTTTTTTTTTTTTTTGTGATGAAAACTAATTTTAAACTAAATGATTGTAATAAAGAAATAGAGTTTAAGAGATTGGAAAGAGACTTAGGGTGTAAGATTCACTACTAAACACATTCCCTAACTCACTAACTTTCAACTAATTGGGGAAATAGTACTATGTAATCTATATGTGGCTAACAATTGCAATGAAAAGTGTAAACCATCAATTTCAAGCATGACTCAACTACCTAATGACAATTAAACTAAGTGTAGTGCAATTCACCAATTCAAAGCATGATTCATCAATTCAAGTTACAAATTTAACACACAATAATCTAGAGGATATGTAATTGTAACAATAAGTATGGATTTCAAACAATTGTATGGATTGTCTACTTACCTAATACTTAAATTGCACTTAACTAATTTACCTGAAATTAAACTAACCAAACCTGAAATTAAACTATTTAAAATAGACATTAACCTAATTGTGTAGTACCCATCTAATATAAGCAATTTCCATCAAATTAGAACACAATTACATCAAATTAATACAATGCATAGCCATCACATGATTCAATTCACAAAGAAATCAAGTGTAAAGATCAATTATCATTCAAAAACATATAAGACTATACGAGATTGACAAAGATAATCAATTGAAAGAATTATTATATATATATCAAGGCTATAACAAAAATTACATAAATTAAATCCCCAAAATAGTAAAAAAGAGAAAAGTCAGGTTACATGCTTAGGGTTGGATAAACCCTAAGTTGAAGAATTAGCCGCTCATGGTTAATGGATGCAAGATGTCAACAAGCCTCATCCTTTAATTCATCTGGCTCCTCTTCTTCTTCTCTGAACTTTTCTCAAGAACCCTAGTTTTCCTCTCTTCCGTGTTTTCTAGAGAGAATATCAATATATCAATTACCGAAAAATAATAATAATAATAATAAAAACTCTTCCCCAAAACTAATAGGTATTGGTTTCCTTAAATAAGCCTTATTGGTCTCCAATAAGTTACAAAATAAGCCCAAAACAAGAAAATCCCGTAGCCAAGTAACTATTAATCCCACAATGCTGTCAGGTGCTAGGGCATTTTTAGTTCTGTGACTAGTAAGGGATCGATCCCCCACTCTCTGGGGGATCGATCCCCTAGTGTTGGAAATTTCCTTCTAGCCTCATATAGCTCCATTTTGGCCCCGGTCTAATTGGTTTGCTTCTTGATCTTTGGGAACATCATTAAAGGCCTGAAAAAGGTAGAATTAACTACTTTTGAAAGATGAGCACACTATACGAACAATGGCTGCGGCCTCTTCTTGCCATTTTCCAAACTTTTTTCAACTGTCTTTACTTGACTCCAAAAAGGTTTTAATGAACCGAAATTAGTCCGTTTGAACCTTATTGACCTGAAATTGACAAAAACATAAATTAGAACTAAAACATGAAAGTAAGATAGATGCAAGGACTAAAATACCCTAGCTTAGGTGCTGAAATGACCTTTGAAATTAAAAGGTCGTGCCGCTAACCGGAGCTCTGGACAGGGGAGCTAGCAGAGTTAAGCATCCACTCCTTGAGCGTTAAAATGAGTTCGCCATGGTTGGCTTCTGTTCTTGCCATAAAATTATTCAGTTCTGAGTGAGTTACATATGGTGCCCCATCTTCTGCAGAATCTGAACATACCTTCCCTTGGGGTCTGAGAGAAGATAGAGCTACCTTTAGCTTAGCCAAGTCATCTCCAAGTGCTTTCAGCTGACTCCTTAGCCTTGAGACCTCTAGAATTAACTCATACTTGGAGGCGTCCATAACTTCAGCTCCCACATCATCAAGTAAATAGCAGACCTCAATGATGGCTTTGTTTGAAGGGTTGAGGATCTTGTCACTTTGCAAGGCCATTTTGATCTTGTCCATGGTAAAAGCCATGACTGAAGGAGATCTAGGTTGTTTTCCAGGTGAGACAGCCCTTGGCTTGAGTTTGGAACTTTCACAAGGTCTATGGGTTGGGGAAACTTTGGTTGGAGATCAAGTAGATGGGTGGAGTGGTGGTTTGGTGAGTGCACTATGCAGTGGTTTGGTGGGTATATTAGGCAGTCTTGGAGTGTGAACATGCTGGGGAAGAAGTGGTTTGTTTGGTAAGAATAGTGGCTGCAAGCAAGAACTGGTGGGTTGGAGAAGGAGGAAGGTATGGAATGTGCCTGGTGAATGTGGAGGATTGGAGGAGGGGGAAGAGGAGGAGGGGGAGAGAGAGGCATGGCTTCAATTGGACAATCTTTAGATTTCAGGGATTTAACTTTCTAAAGGTATTTTATTGGAAGAATAATCAAAAGGAATGGCAGTTGTAGCTAAAGTGAATTAAGACATGCCCTAGAGATTTGCAAGTTCCCTAGGTGTTGGTTTTATTTTCCACTTGAACCAATCCAAAGAATTTTAAAAATAAAATAAAATAATAATAATAATATAAATTGGGTAACAGGGTTTTGAGACAGAAGTAACATTCATCCAATCTTTAGAAAATGAAGAAGCTGAAGATTCAATCTGTTTCTGGGAGAGGAAGGAAAATAATCTGCTTCTGGGAGTAAAAGATATACCACGTAATTACAATGATGTGTCAAACATGTCTGTATGACCTAAAATGAAGTCAATTTAGTATTGTGAAATAAATTTTTTTTCTCCCCAACTGATATATATATATAATGTATGGTGCTGCATTTAACCCATGAAGATCCCATTTCAACATGTGAACCATATCTCAGGAAACATTATGTAAAAGAGTAACAAGACTGTCAAGAGATGAAGTTTGGCACTTACATCAAAAAGATTATAATCATAACACTAAAAGCAAACAGCATCCAAGTTCTACATCAACTAGCCAAAACCAGTCTAGAGGAAATAGAAATACCATATTGATCAAAATTCCGAAACAGTGAACAATAACAATAGACAAGGGCAATGATCTACCATTACAGAAGCCTTCCCACTCACTTCATCTTTGCCTCGGTAAACAGAACGTGGCGATCACACTTTATTTAATTGAAATGGAATGTAAAAGAAATAAAAGGCAATATTGAAAATATAACTTAAGAACCATGAGTTGGTTCCAAATGCAATACTTTAAGAACATGAAATAACCAAAATACCTCTTGCTGGAATACTTGGTTGTTTTATTCATTTGAAAATCCTATAAAAATTCATAATTGCCAAGGCCAGTGAAATGGCCATTGGAAAAATTTCAAGCGTTTCCATAGGAAAATCCTCTTTCCCTTCCAAATGCAACTTTCCTTGGAAGGCTTAACCAACCCTTCATTCGGCTGGTCTTAGTATCCTTTTCTCCCATGCTTCAAAGATTGAGGGGTGGTACGGTTTCAAGTATACCCCATTGATGGGAGACGAATGAGGTTCACCATCTATATCCATTAACTAATAGGCTCATTTTCCTAGAACCCTTTCAACCAAGAAAGGTCCTTTCCATTTTGGAGTCCACTTGCCATACTCTTTATCTCTAGTCCTGAGTGGCAATTTCACTTCCCAAACCATGTCTCCTTCTAGAAAAGACTTAGCCTTTACCTTTTTGTTGTAGGCTCGCAGTACCTTCTTCTTTTGTGCAATGACATGGTCTAAGGTACTCAACCGTACTTCATCAAGGTCTTCTAACTCTGCTAGCATGGCTTGAGTATATTCAGCTGGAGTTAGCTCATTTTGAAAAGCTACTCTTACTAACTTCACTGTCATTTCCATTGGAAGTACTGCATCATGACCATATGTTAACATATAAGGAGTAACTCCAGTACTTGATCTTCTTGAATTTCTATATGCCCACAGTGCTTTTGATAAAAGGTTATGCCACTGCCGTGGATATTTCTCAATCATCTTCTCAATAATGCCAATGATGACCTTGTTAGATGCCTATGCTTGTCCATTTGCCTGAGCAAAGTATGGAATAGAACTTGTGAACTAGATATTATATACATTGAAAAGATCCTACACCATACTTCTTAGAAAGGAAAGACTTATGTCATGGTGATGGTTTCTAGAATTCCAAACCTGTGAATGATATGCTTTTCAATGAAATCCATCACTATTGATTATACACAAGATTTTAAAGGAATGGCTTCCACCCATTTCGTGAAAAAATCTGTGGCCACTACTATATGAGTATGATCATCAGCAGAAGGAGGTATGATTTTTCCAATGAAATCTAACGCCCATCCTCTAAATGGCCAAATCTTTACCACAAGTTGCATGTTGATGGCTGGTACTCTCTGAATAGTACTATACTTTTAACAAGCTTAATAACTTTTGGCAAAATCGTTACAATCTTTTAAAATGCCTCTCCAGTGATATCCGTACTTTCTTAGAAGCCATCTCATCTTTGTTCTAGCTTGATGGGCTCCACATTACCCGTTGTGAACCTCTCCCATGACTTGAATTGATTCCAGCTTGTCCAAACACCTGAGGAGAAGGCCATCCTCTTTGCTTTTCTTGTACAACTCTCCGTCCATTAGAATGAACTGAGGAGCTACAAGCTGAATTTTCTTATTCACATCCGTCCTTGGATTCATCAGGAACTTAATGATAGGGACTCTCCAATCATTTGGATCTACCTCCTCCAAGTCAACATAGTTAACTTCCAAATATTCATTCCTCATTTCTACAGATGGAAGTGGTCTCATTTTTATTGATATTATGGTTTCTTCTACTCCAGGTGGAACTTTTATATTAGATGCTACCTGAACCAGTCCATCTGCCTCTTTGTTCAGGTGTCTTGGCCAATGCTGTAACTGATAATCATCAAATTGAAAGGCCTCAGATGATGACTAAGGCATCTGTATTTTTCAGCTAGCTGGTTGATCACGAGTTTGGAATCTCCAATGATAAGTACACTTCTAGCTTTCATTTCCAGTAGAATTTCCAAACCAATTATGAGTGACTCATACTCAGCCTGGTTATTAGTATATAAATAATCTAAAAAGAAAGAAAATGATGTCTTCCTTTTCCTTGGAGAAATTATGACAATTTCATCTCCTCCTCCATCGCTAATACACGAACCGTCAAAGAGTAATATCCATGGAGAATGTTCGAGGTAGAGACTATCCACCTTGTCACACATTTCTGTTACTATTTCAGTGGAAGGATAATCAACCAGAAACTCTGCTAATGCACGTCCCTTAACTGCTTTCTGTGGAATGTACTTAAAACTAAACTCCATCAAGGACAATGACCACTTTCCAATCCTTCCAGTAATCAAAGGCCTCAATAACATGTACTTAATCAAATCAATTTGAGAAACAATGTACACAACAACCGGAAGCATGTATATTCTTAATTTCATCGCAAAATAATATAAAGCAAGACATAACTTTTCAATTGGAGTGTACCTATATTCCATTGGAGTGAGTACTCGACTAAGAAAGTAAACAACATATTCCTTTCCCCACTCATTATTTTGCGCTAATAAAGTCCCAATGGACTCCTCAGCAGCTGATAAGTATAACCTTAAAGGCCGCTTCTTTATTGGTGGCATCATTACAAGTGGATTGACCAGGTATCTTTTAAGTTCTTTAAAAGCTGTTTGATGCTGGTTTGTCTACTGGAAATCTTCTGTTTCTTTCAACTTCTGATGCTCCTTCTTACTCTGAGTAGGTTGTGCTTCCATAATGGCCTTAGCTTTGTTCTTGTCAACCTCAATTCCTCTCTGATGGACCAGAAAGCCTAAGAAATTTTGAGCTGAAACTCCAAAAACACATTTCAATGGATTTATCTTTAACTTGTGCATCCTCATCCTTCTGAAGGCTATTTCTAAGTTGATTAAGCGTTGAGGCTTTTCTGATGACTTGATGACCACGTCCTCTATATTAACCCCCATAAACCTACCAATCATATCATGGAAAATTGCATTCATTGCCCTTTGGTAGGTAGCACCTGCATTCTTAAGGCCGAACAGCATAACCACCCACTTAAATGTCCCAATGGAACCTGGACATCTGAATGCCATCTTTGAAATATTTTCCTTAGCAATATAGATCTGGTTATAACTGGAATGGCCATCCATAGATGATAGAATTCCATTCTTTGCCGCTGCATCTACAATTGATCTGCCACGGGCATTGGATATTCATCCTTTGGAGTTGCAAAATTGATATTCCGAAAATCTATGCATACTCTTAGCTTGCCATTCTTCTTGATGACTGGCACTATATTTGAAAGCCACTCCACATACCTGGTAGTTCTGATGAAACTCGCCTTTAAAAGCCTTTTAATTTCTTCTTTAACTTTCAAAATAACTTCCTGTGACATCCTTCTAAAAGGTTGTTTGAAAGGCTGGTACCCTTCCTTGACTAGTAGCTTATGCTCCACCAATTTTCTAGAAAGACCAAGCAGCTCATCATATGTCCAAGCAAAGTAATCCTTAAACTCTTTCAAAAGAGAAATCAATTCTTCTTGAAAATTTGGTTCCAACAGCCCACTTATATAAGTTGGCCGTGGATCTTCCTCTGTCCCCAAATTAATTTCTAACAGTGGTCCTGAACCTCGGCCTTTAAATCATCAAGCTTTGCTGGAGCAGACTTTAAGTCTGCTAGTTGAATCACATCCAATTTACCTTCTGGATCTTCTGTGGTTTCTACCAAGTTACTGGAAAGTACCTTGGCACATCGTTTACTTCGTTCCAACCGTAATTCGGCAATGTATGCTTTTAATCCTGTCAGGTAACAATTCACCGTCTGGTTTCTTGCCCTCTCTTTCTTGTGAGCTTCTTCCATTAAAACTATTCAAAGTGTAAGGTGTTAGATGTTGGCTTGTGAGAGGATTGCTAGCCTTGACATCTCTTGGAATAACTCCTTAGCTTCTTCTTCCGTAAGAGTTTTTCGAATTATCGCTGACTTGGGTCGGCCCTTGCTATCTTTTCTAATGAACCTTACTGGCATAAAATCTCTATTGTAAAGCTCAGCATCTACATGACACACTTTAGCAATGAATGGTTTGTTGTCTGCCTCTACAATCTTAACTTCATTGCCATCCCAAAAAATTAGAATTTGATGCAATGTAGATGGAATACAAAAATTGGGATGAATCCATTTGCGGCCTAATAATAAATTATAGGCCGCTATGGATTCCACAATAAAAAATGTTGTCATGGTTGTAACATTTCCAACAGTTAATTCCAATGGAAGGATTCCCTGTGTTTCTACTGAACCTCTAGTAAAACCGCTGATAGCCACATCACTAGGAATTACATCCTCAGTTGTCTTACCCAATTTCCTCATGACATTACTAGGAACAATATTCAGAACTGAGCTATTATCCACCAAGACTCTTGAAAGTGGACATCCCTCAATCAATACCTTTGTATAGAGTGGCTTCAACTGCTGAGTCATTCTAACAGGGGGTTTCTCCAGAACCACCTTCTTTGGAGTTAGAAGTACATCATCTTGAATTTCAATTTCACAAGGCTCTTGGAAAGTGTGACAACCCTGGTTTTTAGGCCAGTGTATCCTGTGATGAACTGAAGGTTGACCTAATAACGGATCCGATATGCGGAAGCGAAAATAGAAAATAAGACTCTAAGAAGTCAAAATGACCTTCCATGAGGTCATGGAACTCAATGAGAATTGACGCGGAAGCAAAAGACCAAAAATATGACAAATAAGCCCCCAGGGGCAAAATAGTCATTTATGAAAACTATGGACTCGGGTGCCACCGAGCACACCACTGGAAGGACAACGAAAAACTAATCAAGATGGACTCGAGAATCACTTGATTCGGAGTCCGGATGAAGAAAATATGAAACTCCAAAGTTTCATAAAAATCACATTTTTGAGTTTGAAATCAATGCAGCAAGGGTACTTCGCAAGGGGTAAAATGGTCTTTTCTGATAAAACTGAATGTAACTGAGCATACCATTAGAAAGACTAGGAAAATTTAAAGAATTAAGACTCAAGAATCACTTGATTCGGAGTCCAGACAAAGAAGATATGAAACGTCAAAGTTTCATAAAAACCAACTTTTGGGTTTAAAGTCAGTGCGGCAAGGGTACTTTACAAGGGGTAAAATGGTCTTTTAAGATATAATTTGATGCAATCGTACATGCCGTTATATAGACCAGCAAAAGCTAATCAACTTAGACTCAAAAATCACTTGATTTGGAGTCGGGATGAAAAAGATATGAAGTCTCAAAGTTTCAAAAAAAACAATTTTCTGGGTTCAAATCTGGGCAGGACCTGCCCAGATTTTTGGACTTCAAATGTGGTTTTGAGGGCTTAAATCACATTTTTTTGCAAAACGTTGTGAACAAACCACCCCCCCCCCCCCCAAATCATGTTTTCTACATAACCATGTCAAGAGAAGATTTTATTTTACAAGTGAAATACCTGAAATGCCCCTTAGATCAGCACTTTTTCCGGAAAAACCTGGAACGACCAGATTTTCCAGATCTGCGAGTTATTTTTGGCATCAAGTTGATTTTTTTTGTAAAAACATGAAGAAGAAACCCCCCTTAAAATCAGGTTTTCTACCCAAATCATGGACGAAAATAAAAAATAAACACTATGAAGTACCCAGAATGCCCCTAGATCAGAAAAGGGCAAGAGGATTAAAAAGCTGCTATATGCATAACAGAAAGCTGAACTTTGCGATCGATTTCCGGCACCAAGACGACCTTTTTTGGAAAAACACGAAAAATAAACCCCCCCTAAAATCACGTTTTCTAAGCGACCATGTCGAAGGAAGAAATAAAATTGATGTGAAAGGTCCATAATGCCCCTATATCAGAATATGCAAAAAAAATACGAAATGAATTCACAAGAGGCTCAAAACACAAACGATGAGGTTTTGCCCAGAAACGACTATGCACGTAAACGTAACTTACCTATTTAGATGCGCTACAATAGTCCATGGCTTAAAAATATAGCCGATGCAAAATCCGACCCCCCAACGGGCAAAAAGGCAAAAATGGACTTGGAATGGAAAACATGGAATCTAAAAATGCAAAACGGGATCAAATGACCATTTGGCCCTTGGCCACACTTCATACAAAATTAATAAGACCCTATAAAAGAATGAAAATGGAATTCCCACACCCAATGCAACCGTGGTGAAGCAATGACTTGCGATTTTTCAAGTTTTTCATAACATTTCATGAAGTTAAAAAGTTACATAGAATACAATATATATGTCATTGGCCTCCGGCCTCATCTCATATATATCAAATACATTGAAAGGAGTGTACTTAAGTACACATTACATACATGGAATCAAACATACATATTTTGACATATAAGTCTACAAAATGACATTTCATGCTAAAATTTGCATGAAATGGAAACTTGAAAGCTACTCAACATCCAAGGAATGCTAGGCTTCACGAACCAAGTCTTCGTACCTGAAATATGCCCCAGTATCGTAGGGGTGAGTAATATAAAGCTACTCGTAGGAGATGAGCATGCATCAACCTAGCATTGTACAAATTTATCACCTTAAGGTGAAACATGTTAAAGGGGCTCATGCCACCTAACATCTATGTCCAAGTGAGACTCGGGGAGCATCCTAAGTTACCTTAGAGTCTAAGCAACAAGAATCATGATATACATACGTGAATGAAACGAATCATGGTTGGGATAATCTAAAGAACACGACAAGAAGAATGCTTGAGCATATATTAACATGAATTGCATTTTCAATACAATTGAACTACGTCTAGAGTAATCCATACAACATAACAAAAGCATATTTGAATACAAGTTAACAAGAATCACATTATCCACGCAATTCAACAACAAAAGAACATGTTATACAATGCAACAAGGTTTAAGTTCTCAAAGCTATCAACTTAGAATCTAAAGCACAAAATAACAGTAGTGGTTTATGCCACTTAACATCTATGTTATAAATGAATCAATAGGATCAATCCTAAGCTTTATTAGAACGTCAAAACATGATTTTCAATATCGATGCAATTTAACCAACATTGGAACTTCCAATACAACGCATAAAGCACAATTTCGCAAAGTTAACATCCTGTAACTTAAAATGGAACGATAAATAAGAAACAACAAGTTACAACATCATCTAGTTATCAACTTGAAAATGAAATACGAAATCAAACAAAGTGGATACTCAGATGTCACGCTGGATCAGACCGACAACATAGTTACTTTAGGGTTACTAGCCCATGGGTAACCTCCCTATGTGCGCACTAGAGTATATATAGAGGGACTATCCCCCGTACTAGAACCACGTCCTAGCCATAGTCAAACAACGACATCCCCAAGTTTCCAAAATCAACAAGTTGTGCAACAACGCATATATCAACAGGAATATGTAAGATAATTAACTATCTACTAAGCACAACCAAATTTGGAAACCTATACAATACATGCTCTAAATCCACAACTAATATGATATGATGAATGTCGAATCTTCAATGTGCGATTCGTTACACGCTATGCATGAAAGATATTAAACACAAAGTGTACAAATCATTACACAAGGCAACAATATATTCAATAAGGAAAATATATTCTCATG